CATGCCACATTATGATAAACTAGAGGAAAACAGGCTTAATCTGGAAAAATGCATGGCACACAGGAAGGTCAAGGCCTGCTAGAAACTAGGAAAAAAAAATAATCCCATTTTTGCTCATGTGATATGCAGAGGTATGAAGAATAAAAACCTTTATAGCTCAAAAAGTGCTGGGAAAAGGCAAAGCGCTGTATTAAGGGCTGGAATGTGTTTGGGAAGGAAGCAACAGTAGGAAACTGAGGAGGAAAACATGGCCAGTTGTGGGGAAAGCAGGACAGAAATAAGCTGTGTAGAGTTTGGGGCACAGCACACTGCATTTCCTCTCCCAGGGAATTAAGATTAAAAAGAAATTTAAAAAATCTATCAGAAGTAAGAGAGAAACTGAGACTTGCAGAAGTGTTTCAGGAAAGCAAAACACTTAAAAATCAGAACAAAACCTGCATTGTGTCACAGAAGTCAGTAATTTAGCAATTTAATAAACTCAACTAGAATGGGAAAGATCCAGTTTTATGTCTCTGCTCTGAAGCAAGAGGAGTCATGCCTGGTTTGCATCCCTTAATCAGTAATAACAGGTCATAATTTTGATCAGAAACTCTATTCTGAACTTGAATGTTTTAATGTAATCAGTGCTGCACCACAACCAACACACTTTCATAACAAGTTGCAGTGTAGATGTATCTGAGTATTTTGACCACGCATACACAGACCAGAAAACAACCTGTTCCTGGGAAAGCTCCAAACCAGGTTTCATACCGAGACAAAAAAAAAAGCACAAACCAGCCGTCTGTGCTTTCCGTCTGCTGCACAGACGAGCAGGGCAGGTGGGGAAACGTGCTGTAAAGATATTGCAGCACCAAATCTTGAAAGTTACCAACTCTAAATTACCCTAAGGGACTGGGGCAGGAGTGGGCCAGGGAGGGAGAAGGATTAGTTGACGGCATGGGGAAATTGTGATTACTGCAGTGATGTGCCTGGGTCACTGACAGGGGGTGGAGGTGCGATGTCCCTCCGGTGCCTCCCCGGGGGTGAGGAGGAGGCTCTCCGCTCCTCCAGGATGGGGGCGTGCAGGTTCCCCATCTGCTCGTTGAGATCCCAACAGCTACAATGCTTCCACATGGCGTGGAAGGACCATTGGTAAGGTATTCTGGATATGTGGGAGTGGGCACAGTGCTGAAACCTCTCCTTTTATTGAGAACATTCACTTAAAATTGTTTAAAAAATTATTTTAAAAATTATTTTCAGGCGCACAGCTCCTGAACTTGCTTCCATTCACATTTGTTTCACCAAGAAGTAGGAAATTAAAACCTTGGACTTCATGAGGCTTTTTCTGTTCTTTTCCCAAGCCCTGCTTAAACTTGTTATTGCCTTTCCCAGACTTACCAAATTTTGCTCCTGAATGCTGAGGAGAGAGATAGGTACTGGGGAAGAGAGGATAAGGACACACTTCAGCATTCTTCTCGCTTGTGAAAACTTCAGATGCTTCATCGAACTCTTTGAATTCAGAAAGAACAAAGCTGTTTCTTATATTAAAAAAAGAAAGAAATAGGAAAAAAAAATATTAAAAAAAAAAAACATTAAAAAAAGACCCTGCCTATAATAATGCTGTTTGTATTTGGAGACGAGTATGTTTACTGAGCAGCCTGGCACTACAGAGTGCCGTTGGCTAGGGGAACCGGCAGCCACACTACCAACAGTACTCTGGGTGCTGTTTTGTTCCGTTTCTTACCACTGATATTTTTTTAAAGCAATATTTCAACAAAAGAAAAAATACTTATATCACCTCAGGGAAAAGCAAGCCTGCAGTGAAATAAATATCTCTTTTGTATCAAAGCGATTCACAATTCCTTTGATAAATCTTATCACTGCAGAGTTTTTCTGCATTGAAACAACCCCATGAAGGGCTGAAAGAATCATCTAAATGCATCTGAACAATTCTGTTTGTTTTGTATTCAACAGTGCATCACACAAGCCAGCATAGCATTTCCATTAGTCTTTAAAAATAGTATTAAAGGACATTTCAGTCTATTTAAATTATTTCTATTTTCATTTAAATTAGTTGCTAAATAACAAGTTCTATACCATCATTATGCTGTAGTATGTGACTGCTAGAAATACACTTCAAACAAAACAAATTAAGGAACCTGGAAATTGCTACAGCAGAGCAAGGACATATTTTTAGGCAAAAATAAACAGAGAACAATGGCAAGTCATCAAAAATATGATAATAACCCAGCCCATATTTAGTGTGCAAAAGGAACGGTACATATGGAATATCTCATTTTACCCTTATGAGGTTTTTATTTGTAAAAAAATGCATTAAATTTGCAGTTTCCTTACTTAACTGGAAAAGGACTAATTACCTTTTCGGTGGGCTATTTTGTCACACCCAGCAGCTCTCTGTGAGTTTTGAGCCGCCTAGGAGCGAGACAGCTGGAACACATCCCGTAGCACCATCCATCACCCTGGCACCGCTGCCATTCCCAGCAGAAACCAGGGCTTCACTGCTGGCTTTAGACCCCCCCCCACCTGCAAAACCAGGACCCAAATTAACACAACAGTTGGTTTTATCCAGAGTTTCAATGGCAGGCTCAAGGGCAGGACGGACAGCTCTCCTAGAGGGTGCATCGTCATTAAGGGCAACCCTGAAGATGCAGGATTTACAGCAGCCTGAGTGGAACAAAATGCGAATTTGCTGCTGAACGATGTTATTTCTTAAGGAAGACATTGAAACACTGTAAGGGTGCCAGAAGCCTGGGGGAAGCAAAGTTTGGGTACTTAATAATAATGAGACTGCCTAACCGGTCATTCATCTAGGGTTGCTTGCCCCAGAGGTGGCATGAACTGATGACAGGAGGTTTCCCAGCGGTGCAGGGAGGCAGGGCTGAGCGGCACCAGACCCCCCATCCCAGCCTGGCACCCATCGGGCCGTGCGGGGCGGGCGAGCAGACGCGCAGAGCAGGGAGGCAGAGCTGTCCCAGCTCCAGCTGGGACAATTCAGAGCTGATGCCTCCTGCCCTCTGCGTGGTCTCAGGTGAGCAAGGGGGGGGCTATAACAAATGCAAAAGAACATTTACATTCAGCCTGGCACTTACAGAGTTTACCTCCTGTACTGTCATTATACGCTTTTCCCCAGTATACAAAAAATATTAGGATTGACCTCCATAGGAGTAAACTCTCAGAGGAAGAAAACATGACCCTATTGACTTATCAAAGTCTTCCTTAAACTAAAAACAATCCTTCTATTACACATTATGAAATTATACATTATCAAACTACATCAAAACAGTGTTAGAGAAGAAATGCCTTGTGTGAGAGACAGTGAATCAAATAACTGGTCTGAAAAACGCATGTGCAAATGTGTCTGGAATTTTAAAAGTTTCTAGAGCAAGTTCAGTGCCTCCTTCTCCAAGCAGTGCTGTAAGACCATTACTCTATTAGCTACTACTAACATTTTGATTTTTAATCACTGCCAAAATAATCTAGCTCCCCATAGTTTGCGGCAAGTTAAGGCTAGGATCTTAATTAGCCGTGTGCTATGCGTTGCTTGGATATAGATTGTTATTTCCCAAACAGGATCTTGAATATTTTATTTTTGCACTTACCAGTGTTGATCATACACAATCATTTGCATTCTCAAAAAGCCAAACCAGTCTGCCTTCTAACTCATATAAACCCAGAAAAAGCATCCCCCTACTCCCTCTGTCTTGGGAACTGAATTTTCACATGCTAAATATCTTCTGATTAGCTTTTTTTTTTCTTTTTTTTTAAATAGAGTTCAGTTTTAGCATGCTAAAGCACATTTAGTAAAGACAGGGGAAAAAATGTCACGAAGTAACATTGAATGTAAACATATCCACATACTGTCATAATAAATATAAAAGATATGAAATGAGAACAGGAATCAAAGCACATGTGCATATTATGACCCAATACAATTTAAAAAAAATAATTCACATGCTTCATTCTAAGGTGACTATAAACCACCCCCTCTCCTGTGGCGCTGTCTCTCCTTCCATCAGCTGGTTATTTAGCCTCACCCTGCAGCGTGAGGATGTAAGCTCACACCTGAGAGGTCCCTGGAGATCTAATACTTTCTCTGTTCCTCATGCGGAAGAGGACTCTCTCCTGTGTCCCGTGATAGTGATAACATACACAGAGCTACCATTCTTTACAAACAATATGAAGAAACTCCTGGTCAATTTGCAACTCCTGGTTAAACAGAAAAATGTAACCCTAAGTTTGGAATGTTTTCTAAAACGAGAAACATTTTGGTCTTTTCATTGATATATTTCCAAAGGAATAAACACATCTTCTGTAAACAGAAAACCTAGGAAGTTTTCTCAATATAGGAAATTTGCATATATATATTTACCCTCTAGAAAATTCCTAGCTTCAACTAAATATAGGGAAATATTTTAATGTATACATTTGATACTCAAGCCATGCAACAAATCATATGCATTTAATTCAACAGTGCTATAAAAAAAAGAACTACATGAGTAATCAAGAATGTACTTAACCTTTCTCTAAGCAACACAGGAAAAAGTTAGTGTGAAATATGTGACAATCCCCTAAAAATATAACTAAAAGGCAACTGGTAAGGTGCGCTGTAAAAATACAATCGGCACTAAGGGAACAAAAAACTGACAAACCAGAAGAAAAATTTGTTTTGGAGTCACGCTCAGCAACAGCTGATGTATGCTCACAATAAAATGAGAAGTATAACGCAAACCTCCCCGAAAAGAAAAGACAGTGTAATTTCAATGGTATACCAGCACAGCAGGTCTAAGAGTTAGAAACTTCCTGTGGGCTGAAGAAAAAAATACATAAAGGATTTTTAAACCTCAAACCATACAAAAACTCAAAATTAATACTCAGATATCTTCCATTACATTTATGTAATTGCAAGACAGAGAAAGGAAAAACAAGACAATTCAATTCTTTGGATTTGCTTTTACTTAACATTAAAAATTGACAAAAGTACTTGGAAAGTGTGCAGCCATCCGGGGTGCACCGTGGAGGGAAAAGGCACCCAGCATTTTACTTGTGACTCAAACAGGGGGTCAGTACCAATGCTTCTGAAGAGGGACCTGTTTTATCATGTCAGCTCCTTTAAAATATTAAAAAAAAATCATGCTTATCTTTCTCTTCCTGAAAAGACAGCTCAGCTTTAAGCCTTGGAAAGAGCAGGCTTATTAGAAAAGAATTAACTCAGCATCTCAGGACAACAGGGAAATAGTTAAAATGGAAAGATGAGCTGTATGACACAGTATTGCAGGGGACTCTGAAAATCTACTCATGGCTCAGCACATAACCGATACCCAGGGTGACTGAAGAATCGGAGTAATTAGCACAGCTCTTTAGCCACAGCAGTCACTGGTATGAGATCGGCTTGGACAGTATCTGATGAAGAGGAAGAGCCACCTGTGTGCCAGGCACCAGCTGAAGGTGAGGACTGGGCTGGAGCCAGCAGATGAAGACCTGATGGAAAGGAAGGGCGGCTGTTTCCAGCCTTACGCTGCTCAGACTACAGTCGGCAGGTTGCTTCCTTGTGTCAGATAAAATAATCTTCCACATCTTCACTTTGACAGAGAGATGAACATCATCTTAAATCATTGGCTCCAGTCAAGCCACTGAGTTATTGATAGATTTTCAGGGAAAGAATAATTGGGAGTGGGAGCATTGCAGAAGATGCCCTGAAGGTAGAAAGTTGTGAGAAACAGCTGCCTCCTGCAGAAGAAACAAAGATCTCGTTACCTGTTCAGAGTGAATACGCAGTCTGCAGCAAAACAGAGTCCACGAGCTCGCACCGTAATGACAAGGATGCTGTTGGAGAGATAGCGATCCTCATTGCCACGCACGGGCATGGCCGAAGAGCTTCTCTTTCTCTGAAAAAGAAGTCTCTACTGCTTCCCAAGTATCAGTTGGGAAAAACTTATAAAAAGTTAATGTCGTCTGAGAATGCACAAAGTTTTCTTAGCTGTAAGCGGTATTCTGCTAAAAAAAAGTCTCCTGTACCAACGTACCTGTTGAGGCCACCCACTGCCACTGACTTTGACCTCGGCTGACAGCCCGAGCTTCATCATCTGCTGAAGTACGAGACTGAGCTGAACCAGGCTTGGGAGGATTTTTTCTGCAGATCTGAACTTAGTTTGATCAGTTATGGAAGCTTAGATAGATATATCTATCTATTGGGATTCTTGCAGACACCTCAGAAGTTTTAGTTTCTCCAAGATAAACTGGAGCCAAGTGCAGGTTTTCTCCACACAAAGTCCTGAAGGCTTTTACCAGCAGTTTGGTGCTATCCCTGCACGCAATTGTAAAATAAAGAAATAATGTAACATTCAGAACTTAAGCTCCTAAAAATCAGACTTTGAATCTACATTTAGAAAATTATATAGTTTGTCTGATCTTCAAAAGTCCAAAATGGTGAATAATTTCTGTCAACTTACATGCATCTTTTGTAGAAGGGGAGAACTAAAACATTCATATATATTTGCAAAATGAAATACAGATTTACTTCAAAAGATCCATGCTACAGCATGGTTTGAGGTGGGCACTTTAATATAATTATTACATTTGCTTCTACAATTTCCCAGCAAGCTCAAGGGTCTTGTGTATTTAAAGCCTGAGCTAGTACTTTTCATTTATGAAGACTGTCCTGCAATCAGGGTTATGCAGCTTCTGGACTCTTCTCCAGCAAATCCGGAAGGACAGCAGCTGAGCCTGGGTCTAAGCATCCCGCTGCCCCTGCCTGGCTGCTGGGGACCGGAGCCCAGCGCTACAGAAAGTGTGACTGGTCAGGAGTGTAAAAAGCAGCGTTCAGGAATCATACTGACAATATTTTCCCATGAGATTTTGCCAGCAAGCTTCCCACACAATTAATAGAATGTCCTACACAATGTCAAGACCTTTTAAAAAAGATGTCAAAAACACTTAATTAAAAAAATGGGATCTGTATTCGGTTCAGAAGCGCGGTTCTGTTTAGTTTTGCATTAACAACCTTGGGGGGCTCTGAGAGGGTCGTTTCCATGGGAAAACTCCCATGATAAGGTCACAGACATTACCAGTTTCCAGTGTCACAGGCACTCTCCGAGCATAAATATTGACCGTGCTAGAGCAAATAAATTAATAACATGATGAGGTATCATTAGGCCAAACACTAACAGCAGCACTGCCTTTTCCCTCCTCCATTATCACCATCCCAAAATACTACATTACCAGGAGAACTTACTGACAAAAAGCGTAGGGGCTTTATAAAATAACACAGTAGACACGAAAACCCACGTAGGAGCATTTGGTGAGAGGCAGAGACAGTGCTGGGTTGCATCATCGGGACAGGGCGACGTCCCCGGTCCCTGCCGCGCGTGTCAGGGATCCCCCTCTGCCACCCAGCGCTGCGTTGCGCTGCTCTCACCGACGTTTGCAGAAAGGCTTTGCTAATGGCCAGGCTAACACGGCAGGGTGCCGCCCAGGTGCTGACCAGCATCTTCACAATAGTTCATTGCATTTGTCCTTTTATACCCATCTGTCGTCACTTTTGTTTTATAAACAGGACAGGGAGGGTTTATTGATTTTCTCCCAATACCTAGGAACCTGGAATCTTAATCTATGACAGAGCTATTAGGGGCTTTGACAGGATTAAATAAGGCTTTGGACTCTGAGCATTTAAATAAGATATCCCATTTCTGAGAAACCAGAATAAGCAAAGCAAATTATACAAAGCTTGGAAACTGGATTTGAAAGTTAAAGTTTGAGCTATCGATTGTTGACATGACTGTGAAATAATAATTACTGCAGCAGTACAGGAAGTAACCAGCTACTTATATTAGTATTAAAATTCAAATTATATATATAGATACAAGGATAGGCTCCAATTTAAAAGAAAAAGAAAAAAAAAAAGCCAGGAAGAAATGTAACCTCTCACTTTTCACATTTCCAAGCCAAAAGGTATCAGAAATACCCAAAATGTAGTTTTGCTGCCCAAGGTTATGTATTTAGTGCTCTATGCCCTCACACACCCATATCCAGAACTTCCTGATTACTCAAGTTGTTCCACGTCTTCACCAAAACTACAAAAATGACCTTTTGCCACATGCAGATGTGAGATACAAATCATGGCATTCTTTAAACATGAAGGATCTGCAATTTGTCCTTTACTTGTAAGTTAAAATTCTCATGTAGATATAAACTTCATCATGTGGACCCAATATCCTCATTTAGATCCTTGTGTCTTCTTAACTTATGAAGTCTCGTGCTTTTAGTCCATTTTTAGATGAAGAAATCAGGCAATTCAACAAGTGTTTTAAAAATTCTGTGCCACGTTTAACTGTACTTTGCGATATTTCAGCAAACGATGAAAGACATACGAAAAGTAATAAAATCCATAGATGAAAACTGTCAGGAATTCTACTGCTTAAAGAAAAAAAGATGATAATTCTATGCATAAGGCATAATTACAGTAAAACAAAGTGAATATAAAACCAAAAAAAGCAGTGTTACTGCACTTATCTGTATATCAGCTATCATAAAAAATCCTGCCCACTTCCAGTGCAGCTCTATAACAGGTTTAGCATTCAAACGCTAACCTGCTAACCCTATCACTGGGAAGAAATGTAATAAAAAAACTGAATCTCAAAGTATTAACATTATGACACAAAAAGCAGGAAATTTCAAGTCAGTGCTCACTGAGCTGCTAGCTTACTCCTTTACTCACTATTTCATGGAAAAGAAAACTAATGTCTCGTCTTACCTAAACAATGCTGTAAAGTCAGCAGCAATCAGTCACATCTTGATCGAGTCAAATATTCGAGCATATGCTTGTTTACTCCAGGTAAAAACAACCTTACTTTGTTCTTATGTTACTTAGTGAATCAGAGTCTCCACATTTGCTTGGAACTGGCTCGATTCTGATAAGAATCTTCCTTATCTTTGCAGCACATATTTTGCAAGGCTCTTCAAGGAGTATCATAGGGAGTATGCTAAGGTTGAAAATTAAATCATTACAAGAAAAGTCATTTTTAACAGATCATCAGTAAGCAAGAACATGAGCTTCAAAAACTTTGGGGCTTGGTTGTTAGCACTGCTGTTTGCTTGACTGGATTTTCTTGCCAGCTTTCTTGTATATCCAAGTAAAATTCAAGACAGATGCATTCCCTTTAAATGCTTGGTTGTAGACACAAACTTATTTGCATAGAAATCCCTAATTCTAGTTATTCTTTATTATTTCTCTAATAAGTTAAAGAGAATAGCTCCATGTGGGAGGTGGGGATGGAGCACCAGATCGAGCATGCTGCACCAATGCGGTGTGCCCACTTTCCAGAACAATACAGCTTACCGTTTTCACCTTCTTTCTAGTAATTTTCTTCAATATCATCCGATTTTTGTGTTGAGAGAATGCGATCCCCTTCCTCCAAACCAAAGTGATGGCCTCCGCGATGGGAGAAGAGAGTAGCAGAGCTGGTTTGGTGATGGTAACTCTGGCAGTCCCAACCAATCACTGACCCTTAAAACCCTGATCTTTTCACTCATCTCTAGCAGAAATTTCTTTAAAAATGTGCCAGCTTTGCATCAACCACAGTCACACGAATAAACAGAGAGCCTACAGCATCAGTGTGCCCACGTGCCTGCAAAACGTACATACTTTACTTATCTTCTAATGACTGGTTAAAGAAAACCTCTGCAAAATAAGGGAAAGTGTAAAAGCTATAAGAATTCCTCTTAATGAGAAACGTTTATAAAATTAAGTCAAGATAGTGAGATAAATGGTTTGTAAGATGGAAGATAATTCTACGTGTTACTATAACATTCCACAGGGCACCCTCAGTATAACTCAGGTTATGAGTACTGTTACGCAGTAATAAAATATACACTGTATAATCCT